TTCTAAAGTGGTGAGTAGAAGGTCACGGATGTTATATCGAAGAATTGAAGAGCAACGATTCCATATAGATGAGACGTTGGCCAGGAAGCTGTTAGTGAGGAAGCCATTATAGGCGAGCTTTTTTACGTCATTGAGTCTCGGCTGAGTAGCTGAAGAAAGGGGTGTTTTTCAGCACAATGTCAGTATGGTAACCACAGACGATCTTATGGCCAGAGATCCTGAATGCCAATGGATCAATTTATATATGAGTTCAAGACTAGATATTTTCCATAAACGAATTGAAGCCTATGAAGATTTTTAAGGCGAACTTTTTTGGTTGAACGGAAGGGAGGCTCATGGGTGTCCTTACAGACGATCTGAAAGCCAGATAGCCGCAAAATACCAAAAGGCCTATATACGAGTCTAAAAGGAGATTTTAGATGAGGATCTCCATAGAAGCCATAAAGCAATGAATATTAATAGAAGAATTCAATGATAGCGGGAGATAAGAGGAAAAATGTGCCATCAGTTTGATATAACCTCCATATATATTCAATATCGGTCTATTTTCTGGGGAAGTCCTCCCCACCCTTGGCTGTTATTTTGAAATTTAGGATTCTTGGGGGGGAGGGGTAGGGTAGACAATTTCTCTCTCGCCAAATATTTTCAATATTTAACCGAAATTCTGAGTAGTCCCCATGTAACCGTATTTGGTATTTTGGGTATGAGTAGCTCAAGAAAGGGGTATTTCTCAGCTCAATGTCTGGATGGTTTCACAGACGATCTTATGGCCAGAGATTCTGAAGGCCAATGGATCAATATACACATGAGCTCAAGACTAGGTTTTTTCCATAGACGAATTGAAGGCTATGAAGTTTTTAAGGCGAACTTTTTTGGTTGAACGGAAGGGAGGCTAATGGATGTCTTTATAGACGATCTGAAAGCCAGATAGCCGCAAAATACCAAAAGGCCTACATACGAGTCTAAAAGGAGATTTTAGATGAGGATCTCCATAGAAGCCATAAAGCAATGAATATTAATAGAAGAATTCAATGATAGCGGGAGATAAGAGGAAAAAACGGGCCAACAGTTTGATATAACCTCCATATATTTAAACATTTTGGTAGGGTTTTAAACCGAATTGGCTGTATTTGTTGATCTCAAATCAAATATCAAATCGAAAATTGTCAATATCGGTCTATTTTATTGGGAAGTCCCCCCACCCTTGGCTGTTATTATGAAATTTAGGATTCTCGGGGAGGGGGGTTGGGTGTTAGAAAATCTCTTTAATCAAAATATCTGTAATTTTTCGGTGTTTTGGGGGTCTTGACAAGTTTTTCAATCGAATTGATTGTAATTTGCGTTTTAGAGAGTTGAGACAAGTTTTCAAACAAATTGGCTTTATTTTTTGGATTTCAGGGCGTGGAAAATCTCTCGTCAAATATTTTCAATATTTAACCGAAATTTAGAGTAGTGCCCATGTAACCGTATTTGGTATTTTGGGCAGAACATTTTAAATATATGTAGGTCCATGTTTATACATGGCTCCCTTAGTAAAAGACACTCGTCAGTTTCGGTATATTGAAGGTCCTGCCCCTATTTTCAATTGAATTGGCTGTAATTTGAGTTTTAGAGAGTTGAGACAAGTTTTCAACCAAATTGGCTTTATTTTTGGATTTCAGGGCGTGGAAAATCTCTCGCCAAATATTTTCAATATTTAACCGAAATTCAAAGTAGTCCCCATGTAACCGTATTTGGTATTTTGGGCAGAACATTTTCAATATATGTAGGTCTATGTTTATACATGGCACCCTTATAAAGGACACTCGTCAATTTCGGTGTGAAGGTCCTGCCCCTATTTTCCAACCTGAGTGTTTGTAATTTGGTACTTCTTTTTCTTCTGGCAGTAATTTTCTATGGCTTTAAAAATTCCCCATCAATTTTAGCTATTTTAAATGTCTACTTTAAGGATGGAACTCGGCCCGGTTGAATTGAACATTTTTTACTTCGTGTATCTTGAAAATACTATCAAATCATTCAAATCCTTTCAATATAGCACAATAACTCACAATATAAGTCATCATCTACCTAATTCAAAGAGCTATGATACCTCCCGAATGCCGATGAGAGCGAGAAATACCTCAACATTTGGGACAGATAAACATGTGCCTTTCATGTTTAGGCTGTTTACATATAGTGAGAGAGCGATCAAGAGAGTGTGGGGCCCTGAGAGTGTGAGAGAACATAGTACCCCCACCGAAAACAAAATCCACCAGTGTGTGCTGTGCCCCCACAATCATCATATCAAAATACAAAACACTGGCGCGGTGAGATAGCGGCTGCGGAATGCTGTGTGCTAAAGTGGTGATGACGTTTGTCAGCCGGTCGGTCGATCGACCGGTTAGACGAACGTTCGTTCGGCTGTTGTTAGATAGTTAGCTTTGCTTCTTGGCTGGCTGGCTAGCGGACTGGCTCACTTGTTTGTTTATTCAATGTTGTCGTCGTTTATCTTACGAATTGTGTTGTTGTTTTTGTTTTTTTTTTTGCTGGTCGGCGTCAGCGCCACACACAGGGTAAACATACACACACGCTCTCTTTTTCTCAACCGAGTTATTCACATATCGGCAAGGGGGAGGCGAGAAGGCGGCCGATAAGCGGCGAATGAAAAAGGGGTGGTGATGTGGGGTTGTGGTCGGGAAAGAGCAACGGGAGTGCAAATACAACAAACTTGGGGGCTAGTAGTCATGTTTTGTTAGGCGCCAGGTTGCCGCGTCAAGTCGTCACTTTCTACAATATATTGATGATATTTCGTTGTTATTGCTGTTTCATTTCAGCGAGATTGTGAGTGTGCGATTTTTTTGCTTTTGTTGTATACAATTTTTATTATTTTTTTGCTGATATTTGTTTATATTTTTGTTGTTGTTTTTAATTCCAACCAAATATTAATGTACAACAAGAAAAAAAAACAATTTTTGAAATAAAATGCCATAATGCCGATACACACACACTCATACCAAGGCATGTGGATGATGATGATGAGCCAGCCAGTCATTGATGTTAAGTGCAACGACTGATTGACTGGCCGGCATGTAATTGCATGACATGAATGGCGGGTGCTTAGTATTCAATTTTTTTACTCCTTGCAATTGTATCTTAAGAAAAAAAAGGTTAGAGGATAGGGAGTGAGATCGTGAGGTTTATCTTTAGTGATGAACTATAGGTTAGTGGGGTTTATATTGACGAATTGAAGGTGGGTGAGCTTTTAAAGACGAACCGATTTAGGCATTATTATTTGCTTCCTGAAGAAGGAAATCTTTTAGATATTCTGAAAGGAATGAACAGAAGACCAAGGAGTTTTATTAATGTCTTGAAGGCATCTTCTGTATATGGTGGGATTTCAGAGTCTTTATTGATGATCAGAAGGGAATACCTAAAGACTAGCAGAAAGGGAGTATTTATAGAATATTATATACGATTCTAAATGCCAATTCTACTGATTAGCTGAAGCGAGTCTCTATAGACAAGTCGAATGTTAGGGAGTCATCAAAAGCCTGAAAGTCCTTAAGTAGGAGCTGAATGTCAGGGAGTCCTTAGTGGCATATTTCTAATGGAAGTGAAGGGAGAAGTCACTAAAAAAGAAAGGGAGAAGGCTCTATAAAAGAAAAGAGTAATTGCAGTAGAGTTGGAGAATCCAGCTGAAGACAGACTCTATGGATGTGTTGAAGGAAGTCTATAGACGAGTCGAAAGCCAGAGAGTCTTTCAAGCCAATCTAAAGCTAAAGGACATGAAGGCATTCCTAAAGGACGTGAAGGGAGAAGTCACTGTATATGATGTGAATTTATCAGTCTTAGCAGTAGAGTTGCAGAACCGACCTGAAGGTGGAATCTATATATAATGTAGAGAAAGACCCTATATATGAACGAAATGTAAGAGAGTCTTTAAAGAGGGGTTGGAGGTCAGGCCTTTATAGATGGGATAACGAACAAGAAGTCTTTATAGATTGATGATAACTGATAGAAGCTAAGTCGAAAGGAGCCCTTAAAGGCGGTGGGGTCACTATAGATGATCCCAAGAATGGAGACATTGCAGTAGGGTTGGAGAACCAATATGAAGGCAGAATGGAATTCTTTATAGACTTGCCGAATGTAAGGAAATCTTTCCAGCTGTTCTAAAGGCGTGTGAGTATTTAAAAATACTGGTGAAGGTCATCGAAGGACGTACAGTTTTCATTGACTGAAGAAGGCTGGTAGAGAGAAACCCCGATTTTCTATAGAATTTATATGGGCTAGTTATTACAGTAAGTTTTTATGAAGGCCGCATACAGCGAAAACTCATGGCCGAGCTGAAGAAAGTAGGAATTAAACACAATCTTAATGAAGTCCTTACAGACGAAGGATTTTTTATAAAAAAAATCATATATTTTCTATAGAAACAACAGTCATTTAGTTTAGAAGCAACAATTTAGTCAATGGGGTTTATTAAAGGCTCATTTATTTTTTATTGAGGGCTCATGGACGAGCTGAAGAAAGCCAATTTTTATACACAATCCGAATGGAGTCCATTTAAGGTAGCATTTTTCTGTTAAAATTCAAAATGACGAAAGTCGGACTGTTTTTATGTGGTCGATGTTTCTCCCATCGAATAAAAGAACTCAACATAAGACTAGCTCAGTCTATCAAGTATGATTTTTATCTATAGAAAACATACTTCGAGTCAGACTTTTTCTTATTCACCAAAAAAAAAACTTATGCCCGATTTTCAGACACGACTCTGAGGTCGGATTTGTTTTTATAAAAAATACTTTAATATCTATGGGCAGATATTTTATAGAAGCAATACCTTATTCGATTTTTTTAAATACCCCGGTCATTAATTCAGATATTTTTTCTATTATTTATATTTCTTAAATAAAATATTCGGATCCCATTGGCTATACCCTATAATTGGTTATACATTTGATAATATTTATATTGAATTTTGTTCCCATCTAATACAAATCGTAGGTTTTGTTTCGACTTACCTTCACCGTCAGTGGTTAGTGATTCTGTTCTCCGAACATAATAATCGGAATTGAGTTTTTGTATGCTGGAAATGCCGTCGGCATCTGAACTTCCGAAAGATGTTGAGTTGCCGTAGTTTTGAAAAGGTAGTCCTAAAACAGAGAAAAATAAAGATAAATTAAGAATTTAGAAATAACAACAATTAAATATAAACTCAGAAACCAAAATACTCAGAATTCGGTGGCACAATAACTTAACAATGTTAAGAATCGTTAGAATGTGAAACTGTTGCTTCAAAATATGAGAAATCGTTGGGACTGATATATGGTGTATATTCCAAACCTTAGAAACCAAATTTGGAAATAATATGCGATTAGTAGGTAATTCACCTCTGTTAGAAGGTACTTCACCCTCTGTTAGTAGGTAGTTCACCATCTTTTAGACTTTGATATGAAATGAGTAGCCGATTCGTCCAAATTTGGCGATTCCGGGGGTAAACATATACTAGTTGGCAAATCCGATTGATATTTTAGATCCCCAAATTTAGAATAAATTAATCCAGAGGTAATATTTTATTATAAAAATTAAAAACATAATATAATTACATTCCTCAATACCTGACGTGACGCTTAAAAAATTTATTTTTATTTTTTATTTATCTTTTGAAGTCACAACGACCCATTCGCCTTTTGTGCATATGTTTGTATATAAAGTGAGTGTGTGTGTGTCTTTAGTTTTTGTATAGATTTACAAATTTTATTTTATTTTTTTATTATTATTTTATTCATTTTCTTTAATTTTTTGCATTCATTTCTTTGAGTAGCGGCGACAAGAAGAAAAGACAACCAACAACAACAAAAATTATAATAAACATACAAACACTGTGGCGCCGTAATAATTTCTGTGTGAAATTGTTTGTATTTTGCTTTTTTCGCGAAAGGCTAACAAATAATAAGAATAATAATGCGGCCGTCTACCAGCACCCACCCGACTGTCGGACTGTCGCGCTGCTTGGCCCACTGCATTGTGGGCTATGTCTGCTATCCCGTGCTGCCATTGATGCCGCCGTTGCTGTTATTTGTTGCCCTAATTCTTTGCATTTCAATTTTTTGTTGTTATTGTTAGTGGGGTTTTTTTTGCAACCCGCCGCCACGCCACGTATGTTTTGATGGAGCAAATAAACATTTGGGTTTGTTGGCGCCGCTTTTATATTTTTTCTCTTAATATTTTTTTTCGTTTTTTTTTTTTTTTGTAAATAAAATAAAATATTTTATACCTTCCTCGGAAGAGAGCAGACAAAGCGAAGGGGAGAGGTTTGCTACACAAAATAAAAAAAAATTCTTGTTGTTGCAATTTTGCATGTCCTTCACACATACATAATATTTTGTAATTTGTTTCGTGTTTTTTTTTCTGTTTAGTCGGTGATGGTGCCGGTCTGGCCATTGGGTGGACGACCACCACCCCCACTACTAACCTCCTTTGCCATTGATGACCAACCACGTCACTGGTTCCGTTTTGACTTTCTTCCTTGATATGCACGCAAACTGCACATTTCCTTTTGAAATGCTCTGTTGCCGTGACTGACTGACTGCTTATGGCCCGTGTGATGGCAATGGCACTATCACCCCATCCCTCCCCCACAATCTCCTCGAGGCCAACAACAATATTTATTTTGAGTTAATTGCAATTGGATTTTTTTTTCCTTTGCATTCAGTGGGTCTGGCTGACTGACTGACAGAGTGCCTGCCTTGTCTGCCCCGTCCGCCCGTTCTGTTGTCATTACCATTAGTGACCACCAACCAACAAATCAAGGCGAATCTGAATTCTGTTTATAAAATTTGTATTTCTCTAAGCGGCACATACACGCGTGCGGCACCCACTGTGTGATTCGTTATTCGCCAAGGAATTTCAAAGTGAAAATAAATAATGGAAAATTTAATAGAATAGATCGAAATGAAACGAAATGAATGAATGGCATGGAATTTATGCCGTTTCCGTAAGTGTACTGAGAATGAAATTATTTTGAAAATATAAATAATATACAGCCAATTCGTTTGCCAAACGTCCCCAAAATACAGAATATTGGCGCACCGTTATTGGGAGGGACTACCCCATAACATGAGTCAATATTAATAATTGTTTGCAGGAAGGCTTTACATTGAGAATCAAATATAACTAATTTTAAATAATTCGATGCCACAAAACCCTAAAATACCGAATATTTGGGAGGTACGGTTATATGGTAAATTGAATATACACCCAACTTATGGTTAGGGTATTACTTAAGGTCTGAACAAAAATCCCCTTCAAACTAGTCCCCTCAGACCTAATATATTCATCCAGTATTTTATTTTTCAATCCTCGAATCACTTCCGACACACGCATTTTAGTTTAGCCAGAAGCTTCTTCTTTGATTTTTTTTATCACCTCAGTCGAATAATCAAAAATTTAACTAAGCATGCATAATATGGCGTATATCGATCCACAAATTCTAATATCTGGGTGACGTAGTGTGCCAGTCAACAAGACTATGGGTTCGAATAGCAGCGGAGTAGAGGCAATTTTTCGAAGATATTTTCGAATATTTACTGAAAGAAACTAATCACCCACCTCGGCATCAACACATGAGGTAAACGCTAAAACGACAGAAGATAGCGCCACACAGAGGAAAATGGCAACACTTAATTCAAGGTGGAGTTGTATCGATGCAACGAAATAATATCTGGTTGGCGTAGTATGCCATTCAACAAAGCGATGGGTTCGAATATCAGCGGTGGAAAGACAGTTTTTCTAAGTTATTTTCGAATATTTGCAGCATGAAGCTAATCACCCACCTCTACATAAACGCATGAGTTAAACGCTAAAATTGCCGAAGATAGCGCCACACAGAGGATAATGGCAACACTTTTAAGCAAGGGCCCCAACCAACGCACAAAATTCAAGGTGGAGTTATTTCGATGCAACGAAATAATATGTGGGTGGCGTAGTGTGCCATTCAACAAAGCGATGGGTTCGAATATCAGCGGAGGAAGGACAATTTCTCGCCATCAACAAACAAGGATAATATAAAAAAGAGTGGCAGAAGATAGCGACATGCAGAGAAAGATGGCAACACTAAACAATCAAGGCGCAGAAAAAATTGGCAACACGAAAAATTAAGGATCCCAACCAATGAACAAGACTCAAGGTGGCGTTGTTTCCATGCCACAATGGATGGCAGTCCGTTTTTCGATTTTTTTGTATCTCCTCAAACGTAGGAAAACGTTTTCAGTTTTAGTCAGAGGAAAAAGTAAGCGAAGGCAAGTCCGGTGTTCGAGAATGGGAACATTCTTATGTCATTTGTAATGTCTATACGCATGGTGAACTGGCATTGCAGCCAATCATCGCCCAAACATTTTTACCTGAAAATACCAGTTGAAACGAATACCGATGACAATATCACACTGTTAAGAAGTGGATCTCTTGGACCAATTTTCGGATATAATCTACTACGATCAATTCGCATACTCAGTCTACTTCATATAAGGCTAAAACGATTCCAAGAGAAAGCTGTCAGAAAAATTGGTAATTATTTCGATCTCTAAAGAAATTCTTGAATTCTCAATGGCAAATTCGCTCTGTTTAACGAACGTATTTAGGGGTTTCATGCGAGATTTTTGTTTGGGTTTGGATTGCACGCTTACCTTCGTTTCTGTCCATCCTTTGGCTGCGATATGGAGGCGGGGCACTTTCTGTAAATAGAAATGAAGAAAAAACTATTAGTTTTAAATTTAAATTAAAAAAAAAAATTATTAATTTTTAAATTTGAATCCGAGAAGGTAAAATTCCGGAGAAGGTAAAATCCTTTCCTAGTGATTTTCAAATATTTGTAAAAAGATGCTGACTTATATTGTTGCCTAAATGAAATAGGTTCGAATACATATGCAACATCGAAATCATAGTCTACACATGAAAATTATACCAAATATGAATGTCAAGAGATGGATGGAAGGAAACAATACATTAGTGAGGTCGTTAACCACTAAATACAATTTAAAGAGAAGTTGTTTCTATACAAAGATAGATGGCAGTCTCATCACCGCGGTTAGGTTACAGTAGACATATCATATCTTTAGGTGGAATGTAAAAAAATGTTTAACAGAACTAACGCAAGTTCTAATAAATTATGATGGCGATACTCTGTGGAAGCACTATGCTCACGAGAGGAGTATACTCGAGAGGAGAGAAATCTTCGGCTCACCTCAGTTACAATTACAAACGATTCGGATGTAAGCGTTTGAAGTTCTAAACACTTTTTATCGCTTCGTACAAAACTTTAATCCAGAACGTCAGTTTCTACATCTTTGTAACCGCCCACGTAAGGGTAATAAAGCTCGATTTGAGACATCATCATTTCTTTGCCAACTCTCAGAGAAAAATTGCAAGATTAAACACTCCATAAGCAGAGACACCTACCAGTGCAAACATTTAAAGGAGACGTTGTTTCTAGGCAACGGTAGATGGCAGCTACATCAACTTTGTTGGAATAAAAACCAATATTAAAAGATTAATGAATCTGGCATAAGGACTAATCAAATAATATGACGATGCTTTGTGGAAGCCCAATGTCCCATAGAGGAGTAACAGGATATGCAGTGTACAAGTTCCGATACAGGCGTATGGACTTGTAGGGGTTCTAAATCTACAGAGTAGCTTTAGAACCGAAAATATTTGTTGCACAAAGACGAACAACAATAAATATGAATATTAGACAACACAACAAGTATACAGGCGATACTTACGTGTTGCTAATTAGGAACTGGTGGAAAACACTTGTTTAATTTAAAGACTCTGGCGGTCTGAATTTATGCTTTATTCCTTTTAAAAACAATTCTTAATGTTTTAGCGGCAAAGTTATTTAGCTTTCTGCTTCTTCATCCTTAGGGATCGTTCTTCTCTGATATGTAATAGTTGAGGTACCGATAAATAGACTTATCGATGGAACCGCAACAGGCAGTGTGTGGCGGAAGTAACAGTTTGGACTTCTCAATACTTTAATCGCTTCGAGAACCAAGCGGAATTTGATCAGGGTTCCACATATTTTACAGTTATACTACTTCAATGAAATTTTCGATATGGAAAACATTTGTCCACTTCGGAAAACGAAAATTTTGAACAAAAAATCCCCATCTTAACATCCAACTAAATAAGTAATATTCGAACACATTCTTCACTAATGATGTTATATGGCAATGTAATATGATCGCCAATAAATAACACAAAACATCAAAAAATTTCCAAATGTTTTGAATTTATGTTTTTAAATTTTTTCTCAAAAATGTTAAAATCTATACCCACCACCGCTATAGTGAAATAGATGTCAAACAGTTTATTTCATTCATAAGCCGTTTTTAATTGCAAAAATATACTAATATTTTATTATTATTGGTTTTTTATGATTATTGAGTGATGCTCTAGCTATTGATGTCATTTCCAAATATATACGAACAAACATACATATATTTGACATGATATTCATTCATAAATTAAATTTTGAACACATTTCGAAATACACGTGGATGCCATCATTCAATTGTCAATAAAATATAAAAAAAAAACAGAGAGAGTTGTTTCAAGTTCAAACCAGTATTGATTTATGATAAAAACTGACTTTTTTGTCTCTCAGGATTTTAATTTTAAATAAACATTGACTGGGGGTTTGAACTAATATTGGTGTTCGATATTTATTCAATTGCAGAACCTACAGGAATCTTCTAATAATCGCAACAACTTTCCTTTCGATTCCTTTATAAATTTAGAAAAGTTGTACCACAGACCAATTTTTTTTAATATTTTTGAAAAAAATTTTTAGAAATTAGTTTATGATCACATCGGATTAAAGAAGTAGTTTGGAACCCTTTTCAGGTAATTATTATAAATGTCGTTATCTGTTTATTTACGTCTAAAAAGGTCTCCGCATAATTGTTCATATAGGAATTTAGTATAATGTCTATAAATACAGTAGCGTGCAAAATAATAACATTGTGTCTTATGATAAAGTCAGTCCCATTCATCAGATATTTAATATTACATATGAGGCATATTGGTACACTTTTTGGCATATCTCCCATATAGCGGTATGGCATATTTAAGGACTTATTTCCAAGCAAAGGGAATGTAATTTGACAACCCAATTTTTCGATGCTGCCATACAAAAGTCCGCTCCAATTTCGGTATTTTGAAAATGCATTCTCCCACCAAGGTATCTGTAATCTGGCATTCCTGGGTCTGGGATTTCTTGTTTAAACATAGTTTTATTGGGATTTTTCAATGAACGCGGCTGTAATTTGCCAAACATCTGCGTAAAAAATAAGCAATATTGTCTATGTTTTGGAATATATTCTCCAAATAAGATCCGGCCCTATTTTAAGTAAAGCTTTGCATTCCGTGATCTTGGATGGTGTAAAACATCTGCAGAAAATGTTCGCCTCTGATATTTTTGGATATTTTGATATTTTATATTCCGGATTCGTGGAGGGTGAAAAAAATTATTTGCAAAATATTATCGATACAGAACCATGCTTTCCGGGATATCAGTGGGTATTAAATTTCTACGAAGACAATGTTCAACATATGCGTCCATGTTTAGAGATAGGACCGGCTCATTTCGAGCCATTTCTACAATTGAGAGATCATTTAGCACAAAATAAGTTCAGATTTAGATAAAGCTCCCGAATATATTTTCGTCCGATTTTTGTAAATTTCGAACCAAAGAACTACAATTTTGCATAGCTCAAGATTGAGCCAGGTATAACTTATGTATGGTAAATTGTTTAATCTGAACTACCCTGTTATTGATCATCTGTTAGGTACATCAGCTGATTTCCAGACTTACGAAAAAAACATCTGACTTTCGATAGCTGGGTGATTTTATTAATAGATCTTTAAACAAGTAAAAAAGAGTCTGACGGTGCTTATATTGACATTACAATTTAGTTGATCTCGAATTATTTAGTGCAGTATTTTAAAATCGAACGTTTCATCCAATTCGGATCATAAGTGCACCCTGTACTCTGTTTACAATAATGCATAAACGGATTTGCTGTAAATGGTTAATGGTTTTTATCTGAACTACCCTGTTATTGATCATCTGTAATTTTTTGTATTCCGGATTCTTGAAGAGCGAAATATATATTTGCAAACTATTATCGATACAGAGCCATGCTTTCCGGGATATCGGTGGGTATTAAATTTCTACGAGGACAATGTTCAACATATGCGTCCACATATGGTCCATATAAACATACCGGCTCATTTTGAGATATTTCTCCGATTGAGAGAACATTTAGCACAAAATAAATTAATATAAATTCAGATTTAGATGAAGCTCTCGAATATTTTTTCGTCTAATTTATTTGTAGATATCGAACCAAAGAACTTCAATTTTGCATAGCTCAGAATTGAGCCAGAAATAACTTATGTATGGTAAATAGTTTAATCTGAATTACCCTGTTATTGATCATCTGTTAAGTACATTAGCTGATTCCCAGACTGGTTGATTTTATTAATAGATCTTGAAACAAGTAAAAAAGAGTCTGACGGTGCTTATATTACAATTTAGGTGTTTTCGAATTGTTTAGTGTAGTATTTTAAAATCGAACGTTTCATCCAATTCGGATCATAAGTCAGGGTGCACTTATGATCCAAATTGTTTACAATAATACATCAACGAATTTGCTGTTATTGGTCATCTGTTAACTGATTGAACTGATTCCCAGTTGAACTTTAAAATATTGTGAAAATATTTCAATAAAAATAAGTCAAGAACTATAAATAAGGTCATACAGGGAGACCAACAGGAAATCAGCTGATTCTCAAGTTTGCTGTAAAAATCCATTATTGTGAATTATTATTGTTTTTTGTGGAATACCCTGTTATTGATCATCTGTTAAGTACATCAGCTGATTCCCAGTTGTACTTTAAAATATTGTGAAAATATTTTAATAAAAACAAGTCAAGGCCTATAAATAAGGTCATACCGGGAGATCAGCAGGATATCAGCTGATTCTCAAGTTTGCTGTCAAAATGCATTATTGTGAATTATTATTATTTTTTTCTTTTTTGGAATATCCATCCAAGTCCTATGTCGACTGCTATTATTTAGCCCAGTACTGTGTATAAATATTTCAGTTTTATTTATTTTATTTTTTTATAAATTTGGTGGCCCATTCAAAACGAACCTCAAAAAAGTCATTAACGAAAAAAATCTATACAAAAATGTTAATCCCTCCAATAACGACACAACAGCAGCTAATAGCAACAACAATGGCAATTCTTCTCGAGGCGAACAGCAAAAAAAAACACAAACGAAATAAAATCTAAGGTGTGGCAGCCTCTAACTGACAACAAACAAAAAACTTAAAGCTTTTTTTAATTGCTGCAACAACAACAGAAAAATCCAGGTGACAGCAGCAAACATTTTGGCAAAAAAAAAAAATAGAAATAAAAAATTCAAACGAGAAACAAGACGCTAATATCCAAAATATGGCAGTAGATTATTTTTGGTATTTAAAATAAAAGAAAAGAAAAAAAACTACTACATACCCTAAGCATTGATAAATGTTATACATATTTATATTTGTATGTATATATAGTCTCATATATCTATTACTTAGACCACCAAGTAGTAACTTGAAAAATAAAGAATTAAAAAATGGAATATTCCATAGAAACTTTCCAATAAAATGTTTGG